GATAGGTAGGTAGGTAGATAGTCAGAGAAAGAGAGAGAAAGAGTGAGAGAGATCAATCACCTTGCGCTCCATCAGGATTCACTCTGCCATCCCTGATTCACAACAACCAACCACTCCTATAGGTTTCCTATTTTTGAAACTTCCGCCACCGCCTTGTGCGGTACTACTGGTAGGAACAGGTCTTGAAGTCCTCCATGGAGTCATGGACTACATGGATAGTTTTTGTCGCAACCATGGATTTGAATAGAGTTTAAGTATCATAAATCGTTTAATGGGATATGACTTAACCAACAATTGGGGGATACAACCAGCCAAAATGCTGATTGGCCCGGTTCTTGGGATATGTTGTCCATAGCCATGTTGAAAGGTTACCCTCTGGTAAATTAACATAGACCATGGCAGATAGGGGTTGGAAGATTAGTTTCTATAAAATTAGGCTATTTTCAGGGTCTATGTTAATTTACCAGAGGGTGATTGTTTTCTGGTCCAAGATCCCGAATCGGAGCCGATTCGAAGCTGGTCAAATCAACAAAAAAGGTAACCATGCTATCCTCATTTTTTCCCAGCGAATGAATGGTTAAATCATGGTTAATCATTTACTAAGTAACCGAAAAACCATGGTTAAATCCTACCATCTGGTTATGACAAAAAGCCAGTTTGCCATGGAAAGATCCACCCATGCTATATAGCTAGGTAAACCATCGAACTTTCTATGGTCCATGGCTTCCATGGCAAGTTTTTTATCTGATCCCCTAATTCCCGTGGTGAATCATAACACTTTCCCAATAAAAAGATTGCCAAAGTTTTTTCCAGACACCGGGTTTTTGGACTAACAGGTCTCCATCATGCATGGAATCTTATTGGCTAAAGCATTGGCGAAAAATCTCCCCATGAAAAATCACCTTTTTTTTGCATGTTAAATGCCTATTTGCTCCATTATTTTCCATCAAATCCCCAGGTTTTTTCCCATAAAAACACCATGTTGGCTGGTTGTATCCCCCAATTGTTGGTTAAGTCATATCCCAGTAAACGGTTCATGGTACTTAAACTCTATTCAAATCCATTCAATGATCGTTACAATCCTCATTTTTGGCTGCTTAGTTCAGGATCCCTTTTTTGATCCCATTAAAACAAGTAGTATGACCCTTCATCTTAACCCATGAATCATCAATGGCCGTTAAATCCCTCATATCGGACTATGTCATCATATCATATCCCATTAGTCACCATTTTCCCCTGTGAAATCCTACTTTAATGGTTCATTTGGGTGTCCAAGGCACCATTTTGCACGGACACTGGGTCACCTTGGACTGCAACATATCCAGAACCCGCACCTGCACGGCGGTTTGGAAGTACAGGGGGTGGCCACAAGGACTAAGGAGCCCCTTTTTCTGCTATACGTGTACACAAATACATTGGTGATCATATGGTTGATACATATACACTGCATACCAATATATACTGGTTGGTGGTTTTTCGCCAACCCCTCTGAAAAGTGATGGAGTGAAAGCCAGTTGGGATGATGACATTCCCAACTGAATGGAAAAATAATCCAACTGTTCCAAACCACCAATCAGTGAGTATATAACACTAAAGACACGACAGTGGTTTTAACCATCTTGAAAAATATGAAAGTCAAAGGGAAGGATTATCCCATATATGATGGAAAAAACATGTTTGAAACCACCAACCAGATAGGGTTTCCATCCCATGATTTATAGGGTTTCAACCATGATTTATAAATGGGCCATTTTCCATAGCTATGTTTGAAACTACCAATCAGTAACACTAAGATGCCACATTCAAATGATTTACCCTCTGGTAAACGTTTACAAAAACTATGGAAAATCACCATGCCATCAATGGGTAAATCCACTATTTCTATGGCCATTTTCAATAGCAAACTGTTAGTCATTACCAGAGGGTACATCTTCGTTTTCAGACCCACATTTTAAACCTGTGGGAATTCTCTCCCCATCATATCCACAGAAACTGGTTCGGTTAATACCAGAGGCTATTTTTCATCAACAAAAACGGGAAGATCTGCCACGCCTCCTGTCGAAATCGGGAGCTCAACCATGGCGACTGGCAGCCAAGCACCTGAAACTCCAAAGAGCTCCAACGTCAGTGATTTCAGCGGCAAACATAGGGATAGCCGGCCTGGTAAACATACACATAGCTATTGAAAATGGCCCATTTATATATATAGTATTTATAGTGGATTTTTCCATGAAAAATGGTGATTTTCTGGTAAAACAGTTTGCTATTGAAGCCATGGCCATAGAAATAGTGGATTTACCCATTGAACGCTTACCAGAGGGTATACTAAAACAAAACTTGGGTATGAAGATTGCTTTCATCACTATTTCCCGGCGATTCATTGCATAAAATTGGCATTTACTCAGCAATATAAAGGAATCAACCCTAACTTGGGCCATTTAAATTGCAATTTTAATTGAGAAAATGATGATAAATGGAAGTTCAGATTTTGAGACAAAAC